TAGACCTCCTAAGGGACCAGGAAAGGCAGGACAACAGGTCACTGGCCCAACAACTGGAGTCTGGAGTTGAGGGCCGAGTTTTCCGTCGGAGGTCATGGAGATATCAGGCACTCCTGTTATGGACAGACGCGGGAGGGGAGACCTCTGGGAAGGCCGGCAAAGTCCAGAGGCAGACAAGCAGGGATGCCTCGCTTGGGACCGGGTTCGTGGAGAGTGAAGTCCAGCAGTTTGAGCGGAGTGAGTCCATCCTTACAGTGTCCAACCATCACTGTACCCACTGTTGGTAAGTCTGCCCTCAGGGCATGGAGTAAGACTACAGCCGGGTGGCAGCCAGATGGCAGGAAATACCTGCGGGATGGAATCCACCTGTCTGAGCAGAGTAAGTCCTCCTCCCCATGCTGGCCATCAGGGAGGTCGCTGTTAGGTCTACCCTCAGGGTATAGGGTATGCACTCCACAGCCCAGGCTGTCCCTGGTGGATAGGGAACCTATGCTACCAGTAGGGATGCCTCTAACTCTCAGCGGGGAGTTTACCTGTCTCTTCACAGAAGGGGGAACCTGTCCACAGTGCCTCAAGTGAAGCCCTTTGGGAAGCATATTCGCCAACTGGGAGAAATCTGAAGTCCCTCAAACTTCCTTATAACATAGCCTGGCCCCAATATAAAGTTGGCAATGGGCTCGCTGAGGACCAAGAAGAAAGCTTCCCTGACCGGGAATCGAACCCGGGCCGCGGCGGTGAGAGCGCCGAATCCTAACCACTAGACCACCAGGGAGCGACAGGCAGAGTGCCTGCCCTGCGCCTCCTGCTCACGCGCCTCGGTGCCCTTAGGCAGGGGCCTGGGCGCCGGCGCCTCTGCCTTTCCCAGGGCAGCGGCCTGTCTCCCGGCCCTTCGCGCCCGCCCCTCTCCCCGCCCGCCGCGCCCTCAGCAACTGCCAGCCCCGCTCCCACGCCCGCCCGCCCGCAGCCGCGCCCTGCGGGAGGCCCACGGCCCGGTGCAGCCCCGGGTCCCGCGCTCAGCCGCGGGCGGGAGCGGAGCGGGGAGGGCAGGCAGCTCTCCTGCGCAGGCCCCGCCGCCCCGGGGCCCCTCGCTGCCCGGCTGCTCCTGGTCCCCGGGTTCCTCTGCCGCGGCGTCTCCAGCGCCCTGGTTCCCAAAGCCCTTCTCCGCCGGGGACACCGCCCGCACCGACGGGGCTCCCGCCGATCACCCGCGGGCGGCCCAGCGGTGCTCACGTCGCCAGGCCGTTCCCGCCGCACGGACAGCGCCGCGGGCAGGAGCTGCGGCGGCGGGAGGCCAGGCTGGGAGTGGGCGGTGAGCCGAGGGTGTAAGGTGGAGGCCGGGGTTTGCGGGGCCCCAAGGGTGCCCCAGTCAGGAACAGGCGGAAAGGCGGGAAAAGGATGCGGTGGATGGGAAGGGGTTGCTGGGGCCCAAGGAGAAACAGTTGGGGTCTGGGCCCCAAGCAGAGCAGAGGGCGGAGAAGGGCCCACGTGTCCAAACTGCGACAGTGAGCACTAAAAGTTACGTCACCTCCCCGTCGGGGAATCGAACCCCGGTCTCCCGCGTGACAGGCGGGGATACTCACCACTATACTAACGAGGACGGCTGGGGCTCTCTCTCAGAGGCTGCCCTGTAGTAAGTAAGGCTCACGCCTACCCCTGCCCTCGACGCCCTGCTGATGTGGAAGCTCCACCTGCAAACCTGCGGCTCCCAAGGAAGCAGCCGGTGAGCGCAGCCTGTCCCCGCCCCACACCCGCACGGAGGCACTGAGCCCCCCGAGTGCGCGCTGCCCAAGAAGGGGAGGCCCAAGAGGACTAATGAGGCCCGAAGCCCAGCCGGTTGGCGCGCGGCGTGCCCGGGCCCAGGAAGGGCGAGAGGCCGTGGGTGGCCTCTTGCTCCCCGTTAGCGGGCCGTCCATTGGGCACCCCGACAGCCGCCTGACCGGAAAGACGTTGAGGGGAGGCCACGTTGGGGTGGGGGGTGGGGGGGGGTCACAGTTGAATGTCAGTTCTGTGAGCGCAGACAGAGCCAGACCTGCCGTCAGGATGGCCGAGCGGTCTAAGGCGCTGCGTTCAGGTCGCAGTCTCCCCTGGAGGCGTGGGTTCGAATCCCACTTCTGACAGCTGTTCAAACTTTTGCACCAGCTTCCCCCGGGCCGCATTACACCCATCGCAGCTTTTTCCCTCCTTGCAGCCGGTTCCTGAGTAAGCACTCTTGGGGCCCTACAAACTCTGGCCTCCACCTTACACCCTCGTACATCGTCCGCTCCCAACCCGCACCACAAATAGGCAGAAATCCCAGACGCCGTGGGCGCTCAGCGATTGCCTCCACACGTCGCCTGCCGGGGCTGGGACCTGAGCGCGGGCCAGGTTTGGTCCCGCTCCTGGCCTCCTCTGGAGACACTGACACTCCGGCAGCCCGGACCGCTGGGAACACACAGCACTGGCCGGCTGAGTCCGCCTCGGTCTCTTGGTCCTTGGTTGGCTCTGCGCCGCGAGCAAAGGTCACAAACATACCTGCAGCCTTGGTTTTAGATCAGGGCTGCCGCATGCTCAAAAGAAACAGGTGTTGGTGCACTTTTCATGGATGCATGGGTGGTTCAGTGGTAGAATTCTCGCCTGCCACGCGGGAGGCCCGGGTTCGATTCCCGGCCCATGCAGTTCGTCTCAGTTTTGGTTCCATCGTTCTGTTCCCGTGCACCTGCGGACTCCTTCCGCCATACCTCTTGCAACTCCACGCCAGACACCTCCCTGGTCTCTCTTCACCAACCAGATACCTTTGGGTCCAGCCATTCACTACAAAAGAGTGGCCCGCACATAGCTGGCACCTGTGCAGTGCCCTTGACTACCTTTCATCACGCGCTAGCTCTCTCCCCCCCCCCCTCACTGGCAAAACTACGCCATCCACTCTTAGGAGATGGAAGACCCATAATCTGTAAGATCACAAGTCAATAAGTCATATGTGTCTGCTGCTACGCTCCCTCCCCTCAGCTCCCTGTCCCAGCATGGGGCCCGGCCCTGATGGAGTGATCAGGACTTGTCAGCTGCAAGAAGGGACCAGAATGGCCAGCAGGCCCCATCGGCAATGGGAGCCTGTGGATTGGGGGCAGCACTTGCATTGAGTGCCTGCCCCCTGGTGGTCAGTGTATATCATAGCAACCGGTTGTTCCATCCTAACAGTCTCTTATACTTTTATATAGAGAGAGGCTTAAAATGAATTTGGAGCTGTTAATGTCTTATATTTTTTAAAATATGTATTTTATTGATTTTTTTACAGAGAGATAGGGAGAGGGATGGTCAGAAACATCGATGAGAGAGAAACATCAATCAGCTGCCTCCTGCACACCCCCCACCGGGGATGTGCCTGCAACCAAGGTGCATGCCCTTGACCGGAATCCAATCTGGGACCCTTCAGTCTGCAGGCCAACGCTCTATCCACTGAGCCAAACCAGTTAGGGCTAATGTCTTATATTTTATTAGAAATACTAGAGGCCCAGTGAGGGAAATCACTTAGCCCTGCCCACCCGAGTGTGCCCCGCCTAGCCACACTTACCTCCCCACCGCCCTGCCCACTCACCCACCCACCAGCCACCAGTAGCAGGCGTGCAGCAGGTAGCCCCTCAGTGATCCTCTCTCATCATTGATGTTTCTTTCTATCTATCTATTTATATATCTGAAATCAATATATATCAAGATATACATATATATAAAGGATGCTTGTTACATTGGAGACAAGGAAGGGCCAACTGGTGTGACCAAGAGATGAGTGTATGGATGAGGTCCGCCGGATCCCCAGAGAGATTTGTCATGCTGTGGGTCATGGTACTGCCCCCGAAGGCCAGACAAAGGTTATGGAGACAGCGGTTGATGCTGTGACTAGTCTGAGGCAGGTAACCTACCCTTGACTTGTACCTCCCTCAGTGGGAGGTTGGAGCCAGGGCCCCAAAAGTTATCAACAGAAATCGGTGAATTTGGAACAGATGACTCCAAAAGCCGGAGAAGCAGGTCTCGGACCCTGGATGGCCATTCGGCGAGCTGGTTCCTTCCTGTGCCCAATCCTAAGGGAGCCAAGAGCTGTTTTCCCACGGACCTGAGACAAGACCCCAGGCGTCTCTCCCAGGCTGCTGCGAGAGACCTTGCCCTTTCAAATTTTTAAAAAATATATATTTTTATTGATTTTTTACAGAGAAGAGAGAGGGATAGAGAGTTAGAAACAGAGATAAGCTGCCTCCTGCACACCCCTTACTGGGGATGTGCCCACAACCAAGGTACATGCCCTTGACCGGAACCGAACCTGGAACCTTTCAGCCCACAGGCCGGCACTCTACCCACTGAGCCAAGCCGGTTTCTGACAAGGCCTGGAGTTAAGACTGGATGATCATGGGAGGGAGCTGCCCAGGGCCTCGCTGGAGTCCTAGGCCAGGGAGGTCCTCCGTTGGAGGCGATCAGGAGCCAAGCAGGAAGCCCCTCCACTGGGAACATCCTCATCAGCACTGTCTGATTGGACTTTTCATTTGTTTATTTATTTCTTAATATATTTTATTGATTTTTTTTACAGAGAGGAAGAGAGAGGGATAGAGAGTTAGAAACATCGATGAGAGAGAATCATTGATCAGCTGCCTCTTGCACAGCTCCCAGTGGGGATGTGCCCGCAACCAAGGTACATGCCCTTGACCGGAATCGAACCCAGGATCCTTCAGTCCACAGGCCAATGCTCTATCCACTGAGCCAAACCTGTTTCAGCTGATTGGACTTTTTAAAAAACATATACTTTTTATTGATTCAGAGAGGAAGGAAGAGGGAGATAGAAACATCAATGATGAGAGAAAAATCATTATTCGGCTGTCTTCCATATGCCTCCCACAACCTGGGCATGTGCCCTATCAGGGAATCGAACCGTGACCTCCTAGTTCATAGGTCAATGCTCACCCACGAAATCACACTGGCCAGGCTGACAGAACTTTTTATGTTCATGCCCTGGAAAGATGGCTATTATGACTCAGGAATTGAACTTTTAATTGTATTTAATTTTAGTTAATTTGCAATTAGATCGCAGTAGCCAGATGTGACTACCAAGCCTATATTGGACAAAGCAGCATGTAGCTGAAGACCCAGACTGGATGGAGGTAGGACCAGGGACAGAAAAGTAAAAGTTTACTTCAGGGTCTCAGGGTGCTGATTTTGGCCAGAGAACTGGGGCCCCAGGGAAGGGAGAGAGAACACAGCATGTAGCTCCACGGGACAGAGGCATCCCTGGTTTCCTGGAGTCAACGTGCTTGCTCACGGGTACACACTCAGGCCGGTGAGCACACGGGTTGGCGTGCTCCCGGACACCCGCCGTCGCTCTTGTGTGCGATCTCGGGGTTCCGCCCCCATGCACGGCCCCAGAGAGCGCCTGAGAACGGTCGCCGTGTGGTCTCCCAGGCGCACGCGGGCCAGGGAGCGAGGGCCGCTAGTGCAGCAGGTCTTGCAGGAAGGCCCACATGTGCTGGTGCATTTCCTTAGGGTGGCTCTGCGGGATCCAGTGCCCCGCGCCCGGCAGGGTGTGGGCTTCCAGCCGGCCGGGCACAAAGCGCCTGCCGATGGCCCCGACCAGCCCCTGCTCGAAGTAGGGGTCCTTCTCCCCCCACAGCAGCAGGGTGGGCGTGGCCAGCTCCTGGGGCTCCAGGGGGAAGTTCCTGTGACAGACAAGACAGGCAGAGAAGGATGGCAGCCCCTACCCCTTTCCCCAGCAACGCTCCCGAGCTCCTGCCTGGCCCGGACTTACCGGAAGATGTTCCGGTAGTAGTTGAGGGGCCCGGTGAGGCCCCCAGGCTGGGTGAAGTCATAAAGAAAGGCCTCCAGCTCATCGGGGCTCAAGCGTGGGATGCCCCTCTTACGGTGGGTGAGGGTGGTCTTCAGGATCTGAGGGCAAAGCCAGACTCTGGCTTCAGTGCTCCATCTACCCAACCACCTGCCCTCCCTCCACCCACAACCACCCCCGGCCTTCCCTCTGCTTCACCTGGAAGTCAGACATGGACAGCACCTTCTCGGGCAGCCAGGGAAGCTGGAACGCGAACACGTAGTTGGAACGGAAGAACTGGCCGATGTGGCGCACTGAGTACTCTAGGGGGAGGGGAAGGCAGACATGAGGCCTGGGCCTGGGCGGCTCCACATGCCTGTGCCCCTAAACACACCCTGGACAGGCACACGGATGCACAAACGCTCAGGCATGCGACCGCAGCCCGTCTGAGCCGTGAAGACACCGGACTCCCCGTTACCCTGGCACCAGCTGCCCTTCCTGCTGAGGAGGCACTGCACCCACAGAATGGGGCACCTCCCTCTGCAGCTCCTGGGCTCGCCCACCTCCACTGTGTGCTTTCCTTGCCCAGGCCTGCTTCGTCCAACCAGCACTTATTGAGCACCTACTGTGTGCCAAGCCCTGTTCTAGACTCTGGAGACACAGTGGTGAACAGGACAGATAAAACTCCCTTACACTCAGGGAGCTGACAGTCTAGAGATGGAAATGGGCAAGAAGCAACAACGAGAGAGAGAGGGGGCAGGGGGAGAAAAGAGGGGAAGAACAAGTATTCAGCTCTGACTACAATGCTGGCAATTAAAATCAGTGACGTGATGAGCACTGGGTCGCCAGAGATGGCATCTCATGCTATTGCGGCTGCTTGGTGACCTATGCCCTCACTGCCAGAAGAAAGCCATTTGACTTCTCTCAGTTTCCCCAGCTGGACCACGGGGATAATGACACCTTCCTAAGCCGAGGTGGCTTGGGAAGGTTATTGTACGAGGAACTGTACTGTCAGAGAAGTTGTCACAGTGAGTAACTCCTAAGGGACTGTCATCGATGGCAGATTGGGAGTCCCACAGGGGAAGGGACCCAGGCTCGCGGCTGACCCTGCAGCCCCAGGAGTGTTGACCGATGGACAGAGCGGTGTGGGCACAAACACATGCTCCTTCAAACAGACGCACCCCAGCCCCCTGGACTCCCGGACACACCTTGGTACACGGACATGGGGGCGGCACTGACCACCACCATCCGCTCCACCAGGGATGGGTAGTAGACGGAGAAGTTCCAGGCTATAAGCGCACCCCAGTCGTGGGACACAAGGATACACTTGGAGTAACCTGAGGGATGGGAGGAAACGGAAGTGAGGCACCAGGCAGAGGTGAGTCAGGGGTGGGGAAGGACAAGGCAGGGATGGGGACACATCCCCACCCAGGCCCAGGATGACATCCTGGACGTCCACCATCAACAGGTCCATTGTGTAGGAGTCCACATCCTTTGGTGCATCCGAGGAGCCGTAGCCACGCATGTCCACAGCCACCACGTGAAAGCGGCTCTGGAACTCCCGGAGCTGATAGCGCCAGGAGAACCTGCGGAGCAGGAGGAAGAGGAAGGTTGTCAGAGTCCCCAGGTTGCACCTCCATCCACACCTAGCAGAAACCCATCCGGGGCAGAGTGAACTCATTCTTGTTTCTCATTCCTTGGGGCCCATCTCCTTGGGGCCTCCTACAAAACCTGTCCCACTGCATCCCATCGGAGCCCTAGATCTGTTCGCCGCCCCCAGAGTACCCAGCCCTGGTCCTGCCTCCTGGGTATCCTGATGGTCTGAGTTCCCCACCCCCGAGTCCTGTGCACCCAGTCAGTCCCCTGGGCCCCAGACATACCAGTTCTCGGGAAAGCCGTGCAGAAAGAGCATGAGGGGCCCGTTGCCACGTCCAGCAGAGACATAGTGCAGGCGCAGGCCCGAGCTCTGGGGGAGGTACAGCCCAAGATCTGAGGGACCCCGCTTCCTTATGCTTGAAACCGTCCCTTCCAACACCCCTCCCTCCCTCATTTCGGCCTTATGTTTGGATGCAATGCTTAGCGCTCAGCTCACTAAGCCGCAGCCCCGCCTCCCAGCCTACTCCAGCCCCGACAGCAGCCCCGATGGCCCCCGCGCGAGCGCGCGCGCGCTCACCCTGAGGGTCAGGAAGCAGTGCTCCCCCAGCTCGGGGTCTCTCAGGCAGACGGGCGCCGCGCGCCGGGGGCGCCCGCAGCAGCCGCGCCGGGGCCGGCACAGCACGTGCGTGAGCGCGATGCAGCCGTAGAAGGCGGCGGCCACCAGCGCCGCGGAGAACACCAGGCTCCACATGCAGGCGCGCAGCAGCTTCAGGCTGAGGCGCGACGGCGCCAGCAGGGCCGTCACCACCAGCTCGGGCATGACGCCGCGGTCCGGCACCACGGTGCTGGTGCTGCCGCCGTCGGGACTCGGGGCCGGGGGAGCGCTCAGCAGCAGCGACGAGGCGGGGTCCGGGCTGCGGAGCCCCCCGCCTTTAGCCTGGGGCCCCTCCGTGCCGACGGGGTGCGGGGAGCGCGCGGAGAGAACGCGACTTACCTGAGTGCCAGCTGAACACCTACCTCCCTGGGCGCGATGGCCACTGGGGACCAGACTAGGGTGCAAGGGCGGAGCCCGCAGGTACCAGGCTCCGGTGGGCGGGGAGGATCCGTGGGGCAAAGGGGTGCGAGGAACCAGAGCGGTGGGCGGGGCTTGGCATGTGGGCGGGGCCAGGAGGATTCGGCAGGTGCGTGAGAGTTTAACTCCAGAGGGAGGCGGGAGTCCTGCAAGAACAGGGAAAAGGCCGAAACTGGTTTGGCTCAGTGGCTAGAGCGTCGGCCTGCAGACTCAAGGGTCCCAGGTTCGATTCCGGTCAAGGGCATGTACCTTGGTTGTGGGCACATCCCCAGTAGGGGGTATGCAAGAGGCAGCTGGTCGATGATTCTCTCTCATTGATGTTTCTGCCTTTCTATCCCTCTCCCTTCCTCTCTGAATCAATAAAATATATTTAAAAAGAAAAGGGAAGAGGAGGGAGTCCTGAGAGGAACGTGGGCCGAAGGGGCGGGAACTGAAGGACAGGTGTGGCCCAGGAACCGAAAGGGTGGACCCCACCTGGCCCGGGAGCCTTGTAAGGGTTGGGGGCGTGGCTTAGGCGCGTGGGTGGAGCCCGGAGGAGGGGGCGGGGTCTAACTTTGGGCGGGGAAGGACTGAGCAAGAAACCTGGGCCAATGAGGCGAGGGGGCGTGGCCAGAAGCCAATATGGCGGGCCAAGCGGACCCGGAGGTGTGAGGAGGGGGCAGCCCGCGCCGCCGCTGAGGTTAGGAGGGCGGCTGGGGCTGTTGCTGCGGACTGAGAAGGCCTCCCTCAGGAGTTCCCCGGACGCCATCTCCCGGGAGTTCCCCTCCCCGGGGAGCGCGCGACCCACCCTTCGGCCTGGCTCTTGGAGATCTAACAGCATCTTCAGCATCTCCCTCCAGCCCGGGTTTCAAAGGCGGGTCCTGCTAGCCTCCAGTTGGCCCAGGGGACCCTTTGGCCCGCCCCTGCACAGCGGTGATTGGACTTTGTCGGTGATTTTGATGTGCAGGCGACAGGTCCCGCCCGAGAGCCCAGCAGGTGCTGAGGCCCGGGCCCCGCAGCAAGTGGAGGGCGGGATACCCTTGACTCCTTGGATGACAGGGCCTGTGGTGTCACCGGGACTGTGGCCGAAAGAGGAAGTGGGCCTGGGCCAGGCTAGCGACTTCTTCCTCGTTTTGCAACCTTTCCCCAAGACCCTGAATATTTCACGGTCCCTTATTCAACCCTTATAACAACCCTATTACGTGTAAGTGCTAATACCACACTCCTCCTGCATCACAGATCACGAACCTGCAATTTGAGGGTTAAGTCATTTGCCCGAAGTCATACAACTGGCTAAACAGCAATCCAGGATTCTGAGAAAAGCAGCTGTGTTGAGTTCCACCTCCCAGCCTTTGGCAGCCATAGGAATGCTTTTGGCTTCCTGTTGGTATCCTGGGTGCCTCAGTGTGCTTATGTGCTTGCTTCTTTACATATATATACATACATATACATATATATATATATATATATATTTAAATATATATATTTACTGATTTCTTAGAGAGAGGAATAGAGAGGGATAGTTAGAAACATTGATGAGAAAGTCATCAATCAGCTGCCTCCTGCACACCCCTCACCCGGGATGCGCCTGCAACCATGGTACATACTCCTGACCAGAATCAAACCCGGGACCCTTCAGTCCGCAGGCTGATGCTCCATCCACTGAGCCAAATCGGTTTTGGCTATATATATAAATTTTAGAGAGGGAGAGAGATAAACATCAACGATGAGAATCATTGATCGGCTGCCTCCTGCACTCCCCACACTGGAATGTGCCCTGACTGGGAATGAAACTGACCTCCTGGTTCATAGGACAACGCTCAACCACCGAGCCATGCTGGCTGGGCTGTGCCTACTTCTTTATTATGTTTGAGATGTCATCCATCGACTCGATCATATCATCACCCCTGGACATGCTTTTTTCCATCTGTAGTTTTTCTACTGGTTCCTCTCATTTGAAACACTCCACTCATCCCTTTTTGTCATCTCTCAGCTTCCCTCTCACCTTCCACTGTTCCTCTTACGTTTGTATTGTCATTGCTGAACACTCTACTGTCCTGGGGCCGTAATTAAGTCCCTGAGTTGCTACTTAAAGGGAATAGTGGTTTACATGGTTGGGCCTTAGTAAACAATGCACTCAGTCAAGTAGTTGTCCAAGACGACTCTGCCTGTATTGTACAAATGTTTGTTTCTCCTGCTCTTAACCTTTCTTTTCTTGTATGATTAGACCATCATAGCTTTAGTTTCTTTTACATTTTCTATAAAATCAATTCTCTTGACCACTCGACAACCCTGATTACCCCCCCCCCCCCCCCCCCCGAGCTCTCTCATCTTGCTGCATGACTGGGCGTCTGGGGACATTACTTCTTCCTCTGCTCCTAGTACACAATACTGACTCTCACTCCCCCACCCCTAACCCCAGCTCTACCCTCAGACAAAAAGACAGCAGTCGTCACAGGATAGTAATTTTATATTCAGTACAAATGTTTATTTTTGCAATGAGAACTGCACAAAAAAAAAAAAAACCTTTAGTATATAAGTGAAAAGTCTACGAATTCCCTTCTACAAATGTCTAAAGTGTTTAATACAAGTCTCAGATTCACTGACATGATTATTGGCCAAGCGATCCGTGCATACAGTACAGTGGGGGCTTGTACACACCTCTCACTCTTGTACAGGACTAAGATTTCTAGTACTGTGGGAGGGACTGGGAAATGGCCAGAGAAATTAAATAGATAGATCCAAGTTTTAATCATAACCCAGTTAGAGAAACACCTGTGAGGGAGGTGTGGAGAGGGCTATGGCAGAATTCACTCTTTAGAAGGAAGGCGGAGACAGCCATTTCTCCAGCTAAATAGCCGGATCTGTGTGCATCTGGGGAAGTGTCAGAACAAAACACAGAACAAAAAACGAGGGCGGGTGTGGGATGAGACAGAAGCAACCCCAAAGAACCAAAATGTCCGTCACACTTGAACCAGCACAGTGTTTACGAGGAAGAGCCTGGAGGACGGGGCAGGGGCGCAGGAGAGGTGGTGGTGGCGGGGCTGGCTAGATGCCAGAACTGCACCTCTCTGGAGGTTTGGGAGATCCCAAACACAATACACCGGTCAAGGGGGGTGTGGATTAATAAACAGTGCTAGCAACGTTTCCATTTGTGTCTCTGCATACATATAAATGATATACTTTCATCTTTCATCCTAGGGGCTGCTCCTGAGTACCCCGCTTGCCTTGTGGCTACTGATGGGCACACAGACAAGGGTGGCCACCTGGTGGACTTTCTCTGGCAGGAATGAGTGGGTGTGCATCTGTGTGCATGGGAGGGAGGTTCCTATTGGGAGGATGTACACTTATCGAAGAATATCTGGTTAACCCTGAGCTTAAATGAAAAGAGTTAAGTAGAGGGAGACAAAGAGGGAGAGGTGGCCCAAGTCCCCTGGTGAGCAGGGGACAAGGATGTAGGAGAATACTGTCTGGAATCTGGCCAGGTTCCCGGAGCACACCACCTGCCGCGGAGGGGAGAACGGGCACCTGGGCTCCCTGTCACAGCTTCGGCTTGGGATGGCAGGGGAAGACCACGGGAAATGGGCTCGGTGGCCCCTGGTGGGAGTTACAGAGACGTGATTAGGGGTCTGGAGACTCCTGGGCCTAGCCTAGATAACAGGTGGTTCACAAAGAAATGTCAGGGAGACACCAGCATTAAAAAAGAGAGATGTGTTTATTCCATGATCAGTACAGACCAAATGCATATTCACTGTATGAAAGTCAAACCAGTCACTGACTCCAGAGTATGGCCAACACTGAGGCACCAGTGTTGTGGTGTAGAGTGGGTTATCATGGCACGTGTAACCTCACCAAGGGCTCCAATTATAAAACTTAAAAAAAAAAAAAAAAAGTGAGGGAAGTGCTCGCAGGTGGCACCAAGCGGGTGCCAGGCCAGGAGCCTCTGCCTCAGTCTGTGGCCCTGGCACTCACCTCGTCCCCTAGCCCGACCCTTCCTTTTCTGGTAAAAAAAACAACTCAAAACAGATTTGACATTAAAAACAAAGAAGCCAATGAATGGGGTTGGAAAAAGAAAACACAGCTTTCTGGTTTTGTAATTAAAAACAGACTAATAAAGTTTGAAACTGAGTACAATGTAGGCAGGTTTTTTTGTGTTTTGTGTTTTGTTTTGTTTTTGTGGGTTTTTGAGGTTTTTTTACACCAGTTTGGTGGAGTCACCAACAAACTTCAAACAAAGATATGCCAACTATGTTTCACTATACAGCCACAGTCACACACTACCCACAGCGCAGTGGCAGCTGCTGCCCAATGACGAGAGGATTACACCATTTCAGAGATAAGCAGTGCCATTGTTCGGAGGAGAATTAAAAATAAAATAGAATCCAACAAAAAAAATATATATATAGAAAAAAACCCAGAAACACAGGTGGGAAGGAACTGACTTTGGTTGGTGGCCTCACTCACCAGGCGAGGCTGGCCCACACGCGCGTGACAGTCTCCTCACTCTGGATTGCCATGGACACACACACCTCCACGGCACTATTCCCTTTTGCACAAGCAAACACTTACAGAGAGCGGCTCTTGATTAAAGGCTTGTTGGGGGAGGGCTGGGGTGGGATCTATCTGTTCAAGGCAAAGTCAGTGCCAGCAAGGGGGTGGACCGGTGCCCGCTCCGGCCTCCAGCTCACTTGGGCCGGCCCTGCTGTCCCAGGGCAGGCATCCGAGGCTGGGGTGGGGAAGGACTCCCGGCAGGCAGGACGTCACGAACGTCACGCTCTCGGGGACAGAAAACCAGTCACGCTGACGGCGGCGACGATGTCCTCTGTGTACTGTGTAGACATTTGGCGGAGAGTATGGTCTCTGCCCACACGCGGGGACGCGGACGTGGGTCTGGCCGACACTTGCTCATAGTGAGACGTGTTCTGAACTGATGTCCTGTGAGGGTGGCAGGACGTCCGGCTGGCTGTAAGGCAGACGGGCTCTACAGTCCTTAGCTGCCCATCAGGCCTGCCCTGGCATAGCATGCACAAGGGCCAGGCCCAGAGACAGGTTGTGGATGCTGCTACCTCCTCCGCTGCCACGCCTAACACTATGGAGAGTCAACTTTTTGCCAGAAAATCAAAGTCAGAAGTCACCTAGGTGCTCT